GACTTTGTACTTTCAACCCATGATTTTAGAAATTGTTCATATTTTTCCTTCAAAATATTTCAGTTTCTATGACTGAATAGGACATAATAACATAAATTTACATTTATAAATGAAAGTTTTTCAAATATGGTTTTAGTATAAGTAAATAACTCCCATGCTTACCTTCTGATTATTAGATAAGTGATGAGTTGTGAGTTATTTTTATTTATTTGAAAGAGTTACAGAGAGAGAAAGAGAAATCTCCCATGCACTGGTTCACTGCTCAAATGACCACAGTGGTCGGAGCTTCGACAGTCTGAAGCCAGGAGCGAAGAGCTTCTTCTGCTTCCCACGTAGTCCCAGGGAGCCAAGCACGTGCCTTATCCTCGGCTGCTCCAGGCACAGTACCAGGGACCTGGATCAGAGGTGGAGAAGCTGGGACTTGAACCAACACCCTTATGAGAGGCCAGTACTGCAGTTGACAGCTTTACCCACTGTGTATGCCACGATGCCAACTTCAGAGGAATTATTTGGTGAAAATGTATTTGATCATTTAAGTATTCTTATTCAAATACTTCAGATTTAAATAAGAATAAATATCTTTACTTAGTTTAAGACCTGATAAATCCTTAGTCATCTATTATCTGTCATATCTCTGCAGCCATTTGAGTGCCACAGATTCCCCTCAGCGGGAAAAGACTGATTCTGGGTGTAGATCCAGCTGCTTCCTGCTAATGGCCTGGGAAAGCAGCAGATGGCACAGGTACTGAGCCTCTGCCACCCACATGGGAGACCCAGATGAAGCTCCGGGCTCCTGGTACCGACCTGGCCCAGCCATGGCTGAAGCCATCTGTGGAGTGAATCAGCACATGGAAGAGCTCTGTCTCTTCCCTTCTCTCTGTAACTCTGCCTTTGGAATAAATAAGTAAAATTTTAAAAAGAAAAAAAATATATATGTACATACTGGAAACTTATTTTCTTTTGATGTTAGAAAATGTTACCAGCTATCTGACCAAATAGCATTATTTCTGATGTCCATAAAACCACTTTTCACTATAAAGTACAACTTCACTGCTCCATAGGCTTTTGTTTTTCTGATGAAGCAAATGGGAAAGACAAGACATTGAGAAGACATGGCTCAAATGGTGTTTCCCAAGTAAAGGTGCCTTGATGACTAAACGTGCACTGCACTTCTTTTAAATGCGATCCTGAACGATCAGAAGCAAATGCTAAATAAAATCATCAAGGCACAATTTGGGGCTTGAGTTTGGTGATCGTGTTTTGTGTTTAAACATTTGCTTGATTTCTTTTGAAAACCACATTAAAATGTCCCTAATCATTTACTTCAAACCATTTCTTTAGGAGATGTGTTAACAATGATGGAAGGAATTACTAGAAGAAATACTACAAAGGATGTGGAATTTTTTTTAATACACACATGAACATATACATGCACAGATATGCAAACACCATTAAAAATGATAATGACATGTTTGTCTTTTTAACAGAAATAACCGACAAGATAATACATGGAAAACAGACTTGAAAACCTTTTAAGATACAGACTAAAAGTAGTTAGAAATTCCAGAAAACATTTTAAGTTGAAAAGAAACTCATCTATAGTAGACAGCTACAAATTAATCGTCTCCATTAGCACTTCCTGAGAACAAAGGCACATGTGCAGGAGAATGATCTGCTAAGACTGGGATGCTGTTATGATCTGGGAATCAGGCAATACTGTTTCAGCTGAGATGGCAACCTGTCCCTTTGTGCACAAAGCTCTGCTCTGATCAGTTGTGACGATCAGCCCAACAGGGTTTCATTTGAAGGGATGAGAGGTAGATATAAGTAAACACAGAACACGTAGTTCACTGTGGCTTCCCGTTTCTATAGGATGATTTCAGAAAAACGTGCAAGTGGTCATCATGAAGCGATCGCATGTGAAACCTATGAAGATGTACGCAGATGTGTGCTTATATATGAACCAACCAAATCCCAGAGTGTAAATCATAAAATGCCCCAAATCACAGGGGTTTTCATATCGCAAAGGTGTTGAAGCTGTTAAGGTAAAAATGTGATTTATACACAAAAAGCTGCTAGAGTGCATTAAGAAAATCCAATAAAAATAACTAGAAAATATGCTTCAATGACTTCATAATTTTTTTGATTTTGAAGTTTACCAAATGGACTTTCTTACACATGAATAATGTACTTGGATAATAATAATAAATGTAATATGGCTATATCATACATGGTCCCAAAAATAATTTCCTTTTTTTTTTCAGAAAATTCATTAAGATGGCAAATTAACCACCTAAGTTTTCATAATTTTTTTACAACAAATTATTATAAATAGTGATATTCCTTTCAATCATTTGTCAATTAATGAATTTAATTTTGCAATTTGAGAATAAAGAGATAATGATTAGAACAATAATACACTTAAATGAAAGCACAGTTTAACATGATTTATGACATTTCTGAGGAAAGAAAATATAACTCTTAAGAATATTTGATGATTGTTATCAGACAACTGTTCTAAATTAAACTGTTTCCTCAGTTCAAAATGGTTGGACAGAAATATATATACCTCTTAGCTATCTGAGGATAATCCAAATAGTCATTATTTCTACATGGGTGAGATTAAAAAAAAGCTACCTTCATTAAATAGCATATAATCCTTTAAGTTCAGATTTAAGGCATCCAGCGTCTCTGGATCTTGAGTGACATAATGATAAGATACATTTAGTGAGCAATGTTTAGCTGGAGTGATTGGATAAGTGAATTAATGGATGAAAGGAGCAATAAAGGATTGCTGAATCAGTGGTTTGAGTTGATAGCACAAATTGGAACTGGACAGCAACATCTGTGTCTACATCACTTGGTGCTCCAATGCATGGAACCATTTCTTCAAAGTGTTAGTCTCCAAACACACAGCATGGCATCCTGAAACAATTCCATCACATTTCCTCTCCTTATTGCAGGGAGGCCGTCCCAGTGTCCACATCCTCCAGTTGGAAAGACAGAGACAAAACACAGCCGTGAAAAAAAAAAAAAAAAAACGGAAGATAAACAGAATCCATGCTTGATTCCCTCCCAAGAGTCTAATCCATTCTCCCACATTCCAATTCAAAGTAAAAATGAAATTGACACATTAGCCTGGAAGGAAAAAAATATTAACATGATGAAGTGCATTCATGAAATCAGGCAAACCATGAAGTAATGGAGGGTTTGTGTATATCCAACAAGGAATCTGGCCACAAAGCAAAATTAATCAATACATGTAGAGGACATAGAAACAGGACATAGGCTGAACGTGTGAGAGAGCAGAACTCAAACAAGGAGCTTGCTGGTCTTAATGCACCTTTGGAAAGGAATTTTAATGAGCAAACACGAAAATAAAGTCTTTTGTTCTTTCTGCTTCACCCTATAGACTCTTATTTCCTATGGAAATTCTATAAATTTGAGGATTCTTTAAGTACATGGAAGAATATAACAAACTTGAAATTCTTGAGTCACAATATGTGTAGTTGCAATAGCGCTTAGCAAGCATGTTTCATTTCTTTCAAAAAATTCCAAGTTATTTACTACCCTTATTAAGAAAATGCAGAACCGTTCCTCCGGTCTGATCAAGAAGTTCACGCCTAGTATCGTCCACACAAAAGTCTCTCATGTCAGACAGGCCTGACATTCATGGGACAACATGAAAGTGAAAATGAAACTCAAACAAAGAGGCACCAGTTTTAATCAATGAAAAATGGCCAGAAGAGAATGCGGAATGATAACGCAGCAGGAGGTGAGGAGAGGCAGGGCAGGAAGCAGCCACACCTATTCTCAGCACCCCAGCTCCCATAGGCACTGTCCCACTGGATCAGTTCTTGGGGCATCGTGTCTGTATAAGTATGTTGGACCCTTCACGTACCGAGAGCACCACATGCTGCCTACTAATTGTGCTAAGACACACGATAGACAATGCACAATTAGCATCTGACAGAAATTCTACTGTAGTGGTCTATCTAAAACTCTCATTAAGAGAATGAGAGAAAAATCTTTCTTTTAAAAAGATGAACAAATTTTACATTCCTACCTTCTCATTCAGAATAGCATAATTTATTTATACTTACCCATATTTAATGTCGGTGACCTAAAATAAACCAACTTTAAGTATTGGAACACCTTTGGCAAAATTTACTATAAGTAAATACTTATACATTTTTTATATTTCTTTAAGAAGATTGCTGAGGCTTCATATGAAATTTGTGAAACAACCTATTGACTATCTAAAGTTATGATTATTAATAATATAGATTATATTGCTAATAATGTTATTAATAATATAGTCTATGTTGTTTGTAAAGCATACTTTATATTGCATATTTTATATCATTAACATTTCAATATTACGGTTCGTGATTAATAATCATACATTCACACTCAACATCAGTAAAATAGGTAAATGATGCAACAAATTAGAGTATTTGAATGGATTATGATTCATTTTACATGACACACTAGCACGCTCTCAAAACAGAACGCTCCTGGGCAAAAAACCAAATTTTCCCACCCAGCAATACTTTGCAGCTGAGAAACTGTACTTGCAATAAACACTGTAATTTACTGGACTAGTTCTTTCAGTGTGTAATGCAGTAGGAACAACCGCATTTGTATATAATTATATCATATTGCCTCAGGCTTTTAAAATTTTTTAATGAATTAAGGTTTTGTACTGGGACTCTGTGTAAGGTCACTTTGTAATTAATGCTTCTGTTTATTTGCTCAGTTTATTTGTATAACTCCCCAAAATATTTATCATATTTTCAGATTTATATTACTGTGTTTTATGTACCTTTTTATATTCATGAATTAAACAGTAAGCAAATTAAAATCCACAAAATTTAAAACTGCAATTATGGAAATCAAAATTTCCTAAGAATGTTAGGAAATACATGAAGGTAATTACTTCAGCACTAAAATGATGACCTTTGTTAAAAAGAAAACAATCACATGGCAAAAACTTTAGCTTCTAATTAGTACTCTCCTTCAGGAAAACAATAAATACACAAATCAGGACATTTTTAAAACATGTCATCTTACCATTCTTTAAGATGAATATTACAACCCAGGGTGATAGCTAATGTGTGATGCATGACATTTTATCATCAAAATATATCATAAAATGAGTGCTGTAACTAGTGGTCTTGTTTTTACTTATGACAACCCTTTTAATTATGACAGATTCCGAAATGTCAGAATTGTGAATTCCTTAAGTTTACAAAAAATTCCCACTCTCCTATTACATTTGTACCTAGTTGAAACATAAGCTATGCAACAGTATCTTTCTCTACCTGAAATAGTTGGGCTTCTTTGGGAATAAGATTAAACACAGATTTATATTTCTTACAAATTAGTTTGGAGTATCATTAAAGAAAAACGAACAAAGAAATAAAGATCTTTGCTTTTTGTAAGAACATGTTTTATGTAGGACCGAAGTTTTTACAACATTCTGGAAAAGCCATCCGATGTTAGATTTAAAAATAAAATCAAACGCATTTTCTGACATAGTACACATGAAAAATTGGAAATTCCAATATCTTCAATAGAAGTTGTAGAAAGTGTCTGTCTCCTTGGAGTCTGACACCCACTTAACACAGCAGAAAATAAGGTACTTCACTGTAAACAAAAAAAAATGCAATAAAGGACAGTTGTAAATTACATAAGAAGAGTTCATAAACATTTTGGTCTTTCCATACAGTTTTTATATAAAATGAATTAAAAAAACCTTTAGGCAGCTGTCAATACTCTTGTTTGGCCACTTCTCACTTATACGCACACAGACATTAATATAGCAATATAGTGATGCACCGCTACATGAATATTAAACTATGATTGCTACTTGTAACTGAGATGGGCATTATCCAATCAACATTATCCATAGCTGAATTCTGTTACATGATGTATTCTTGTCATGTCATATCTATAAAAACATGAAAATATAACTTTACATTATTTCAATTATTTACATAAGTTCAAGCTTGACAAAGAAAAAAAAATGATTAGCTCAATTTTTAGAAGAATTGGCCCAGAGGTACAATAAATAGCATTGACTGTATATATTCATCATTTATTTTCATTTCTAAAAACTCATTTTAAGTACAATATGGAAACATTTAGTCTGCAATTTGGTCATTCTAGCGTTTATTATCAAAACTTAAAATGCATCTCCAACATTCCTGATGAGGAGAAATGCACCAAACCTATGCTGTGTGTCTTGGGATTTATGACGTTAGGACAACTAAATTCGATGAGGAGTGTCATGATGCCACAGGCCATCATGTCCGTGCAAATGGCTGTTGTTCAGCTTTACCTTTTCCTTCTCTTCTGTGGAATATAATAAATAAAACATTTGAAAAGCAATTTGAAAAGTTTCATTGCAGAACTGATAACATATTATACATAATGCCTATGTGTTCATAATTGCTTTGAGACCTAAATTAATTTCCTGTGAGGGGCTTTAATGGAAATGAAAAACTATTTTATGATAGGAAAGATAAATCTTTTACATTTGTTTAGAAGGAACCTAAAAGCAGTTTAGTCAAAGGTCCTCAGAGAACTGACAATTTCGTCCACAAGTGGCTCCTAAAATAGCCATTCCTAATAAGGACTACATATAAAAATAAATATGAGGATTGTTTTTATTGAAGGGGACAGCAAAAAAACCATGTTGTAGAAGATGCAAAGTGCTTAAATTACTTGGAATATTTAGGGTGTTTGACAATTCTTATCTTTTTAAATGAAAAAAAAAATCTTTCATTTACTTGGGGGAGTTTGATCAATTATCCAAACGGCTACTTTCAATGCATTTCTGATTTCATTTCTAACTAAGACTTTTCTGCAAGCTCAAACATTTTAAAATGAAATCTCACATACTCTAACATTTATTGTTTAACATTAGCTCTTTAACTCTATTAGCATTTTCCTACATAGATTAAATGCCTTTGTATTAACAAATATCTTTGCATGTAGTAAGACATATTAAAAATGATTTCGGGTATTGTCTGGGGGTAAGTTTATACTGAGAACATCACCTGGCCTTTTCAGAGGGGAAATTTTCTGCGGGAAGCTAGCAACTTAGCCATGTATTGAAACTCACTGGGTTTATGTCCAAACTGCAGCTAAGCAAAATCAATTGGACCACTTGCAAATAAAACAATAGAAAAAATGTTTATTTCAAATGTCAAGCATTGGCAAGTAATTATATATTAACACCAAATGTTAAAGAATAGGATACATTAAAGTTTTAATAACAATATTAAATTACAAGATTGGAATCTTTCTCTTTTTTTTTTTCCTTAGCTTTTACATTTTTGGCTTTGAAAAATATGGAGCTGATACCTAAAGCCTTTTCAATTACTTCCCATTTTGTTTCCTTTTGTTTTTGTTTTGTCATTTTTGATCAGTGTGGAAGCAAATTTATTTAAAAGCCAGTGTGTGTGTGTGTGTGTGTGTGTGTGTGTGTGTGAAAATACCTAAAAATATTTTTTAATTTTAAACTTTTTTCAATTTTTCTTATAAAACATGTCACATCTTGATGCAGTTGATGTCAAGTGTGCTTAAGTCATCATGAATCAAGAGACTAACAACAGTGGCTGCAGAAACTGGTTTGTGTTCTGTACAAAGACTTCAGTTAGATCGGAGGAGGACTTCCAGGATGGCTGTGCATGTCCACCACACGCTGTCTGTAACTCGAATAGAGAATGATGCTGTGGTTTTAATTCATCATTCCTTACAACCCAGGATAAACTCCACATAGTTGAGAATTCTTGGCTGAAAGAAAAGTCTTCTCAATATACCGGATGCCTCTCACCACTTTGACAATAAACACACGAGAAAACCATTGTGTAAGGCACTCAAAAGGTTCCCATTGATCGCTAGAGACCAGTCACACTGACACTCATTCCCATGCCAGGACTCACGTAAGGGGCAGCATGCACTGCTTTTGCAAATTCTGGAGTCACAACACGTCCATTTTCTCCAGTACTCCCTGTCTTTGACAGCCTTGCCTTGCTCCTCAGGGCGTCACTCAAGGTCATCTTAAAGGAGAGAGGAGGGAAAGATAGAAAGAAAATCACGTTATGTTTTTTGTTTGTTGTGAATTTTTTTTTTGTTCTTTTTTTTTTTTTTCAAATGTGGCCAGAGCGAAGGCAGTGTTGTTTTGGGAAAGTTTACTTCTATCCGAAAGCTTGTAGCAAATGAAAACAGACAGGTGCAAAGCTCAACTACAAATCATACAGCACAAGTAGGGCGGGAATCTGTCCACATTCACCCAAGCTACTGCGCCATGAAAGAGGAAAATAGACAGTTGTGCTGCAGGTTGGTCACTCATCAGGAACACGGAAGAACATCAACAATACATACAGGAGGATCCACTGGCCACCTTCCTCACTTAAAAGAGCTTAAGGACGCAACAATAAAGCTATAACGTGCACTTAGAAGTTTGTATTAGGGCCTCTTCCTACCCCCTAAATCTTAACG